CTCAATTAAAACCACAAAAATCAGAAAAAGTATTAAAGGCAAACATAGAAAAAAAGAACAAGGTCAATGTGTAGAAAACAGTAAAAAATATGGTATAGATATTGATCCAACTATATCAATAATCATTCTAACGTCAATGATTAAATATACCAATTAAAGCTAGAGATGGTCAGAGAGGATTAAAAAGACCCAACTATGTTGTCTAGAAGAAATAAATTTGAACTCTAAAGAAACATATAGATTAGGAGTAAAGGAATGGAAAAAGACACATAATGCTACCACTAATCAAAAGAAAGCTAGAATAGCTCTATTAATTTCAGACAAAACTGACTTCAGAGCAAAGAAAATTGTTAAGGATAAAGAGTATCCTCAATAAATATGTATCATAGTTACATAATGATAAGATGGTCAATTCTCCAAAAAGACATAACAATCTTTCAAGTGCATGCATCTAACAAAATATGTGAGGCAAAAGCTGACAGAACTGCAAGGGAAAATAGATATATCCACTATTTAGTTGGAGAATTCAATACTCTTCTGTCAGAAATGGACAGATCCAATAGGCAGAAAATCAGTAAGGGCAGAGTTGAACTGAGCGGCACCATCAATCAACTGGATCTAATTGACATTTTTATGCTACTTTACCCAACAACAGCAGAAAACACATTCTTCTCAAGCTCATATGGAATATCCACCAAGACAAAACACATTCTGGACCAGAAAACAAAGCTTAATAAATTTAAAAGAATAGAAATCACACAATATCTGTTGTCAGACCACAATGGATCTAAACTAGGAATCAGTAAAAGAAAAATAACTGGAAAATCTCAAAATATTTGGAGAGTAAGCAACACACTTCTAAATAACACATAGGTCAAAGAAGAAATCCCAAGAGAGATTAAAGATATTTTGAACTAAATAAAATGAAACTACAACTAATCAAAATTTTTGGGATGCAGTGAAAGGAGTGGTCAGAGGGAAATTTATAGCATTGAACTCATGTCTGAAAAAAGAAGGAAGATATAAAATCAATAATGTAAACAACTACCATAGGAAATTAAAGAAAGAAGAGCAAATTATGTCCAAAGTAAGCAGAAGAAATGAAACAAAAATCAGGAGAAACTAACAAAATTGAAAATAAGAAATCAGAGAGAAAATCAATGAAACCAGAAGCTAGTTCTTTGAAAAGTTCAATAAAATTGAGAAACCTCTAGCTAGGCTCACCAAGAAAAAAGAGAGAAGGCACAAATTACTAATGTCAGAGTTAAAAGAGGGGCCATCTCTACTGACAACATAGGCATTAGAAAGATAATAAGGGAATATTATGAACAACTCTATGACTACAAATTAGATAATTTTGAGGAAATGAATTAACTCCTTAACACACAATCTGCCAAAACTCACACTAGAAGAAATAGACAATCTGAATACGTCCTTAACTATGAAATAAATTGAATCAATAATTAGTAACTTCCAACCCAGAAAGCATCAGGCTCAGATAGGTTCACTGGTGAATTCTATCAAACATTTAAGGAAGAAATTATACCAATTCTCTACAATGTCTACCATAAGATGGGAGCAGAGGAAATTCTTCTTAACTCATTCTATGAGGCCAGCACTACTCTAACCAAAACCAGACAAAGACATTACAAGAAAGGAAGACTGCAGACTAATGTCTCTCAGAAATATACACGCAAAAATCCTTAACAAAATACCAACAAATAGAATTCAACAGTATATAGAAAGAATTATACACTATTCTCAAGTGGGATTTATTTCAAGTAGACAAAACAGATTCATCATTTGAAAATCAAACATTAGTTCTCAATTTGAACTACAGATTCACTGCAATCTCAATCAAAATCTCGGCAAGTTATTTTTCAAGTATTGACAATCTGATTCTAAATTTACACAGAAAGGCAAAAGACCTAGATTTGACAACATAATATTGAAGAAGAAGTATAAAGTCAGAGTGCTAACACTATCTAATTTCAAGGATTACTATAAAGCTACAGTAATGAAAACAGTATGGTATTGATGAAAGAATAAACAAATGGATCAGTGGAACAGAATAGACAGCCCAGATATAGATCCATATAGATACAGTCAACTGATCTTTGACAAAGGAGCAAAGGTAACACAACATATTACTAAATGAAAGAAACCAATCTGAAGGCTACCTACTGTATAGTTCCAACTCTGTAACATTCTAGAAAGGCAAAATATGGAGACAGTAAAATATCAGTGGTTTGCTAGGGGCTTGGGGTGAAGGAGAAATGAATAGACGGAGTACAGAGGACTTTTAGGGCACTGAAACTTCTGTATGACACGATGTTGGTGGACACATGTCATCATACATTTGCCCAAATCCATAGACTGTACAACACTAAGCATGAACCCTAAAGTAATCTTCGGACTTTGGTTTATATTGTGTCAATGTTGTTTCATCAATTGCAACAAATGTTACAATACACTGGAGAGGGTTGTTGGTAGTGGGTGGGAGAGGCTGTGTGTGTGGCTGTGAGGAGGAAGCATGTAGGAACTACACACTTTCTGCTCAGTTTTGCTATGAAACTAAAACTGCTCTAAAAAATAAATACTAAGAATTAAAAAGAAAACTCCTAATCCACAACGCTAACTAAACTGAAACTTGCATTACTCTGTGCCAATGGAGGGCTTGATGCTAATGTCCCCTTGATCATTTGGACAGCAATGGGAATGCTATTCGATGTGAGATGCCACTGAATTCGGAGTTGGAAAACTGGATTCTAAGACAAGGTCTTGCACTAATGCATTAATGACATTTTATTTCACTGAGTCACCAATTACTCATTTGAAAAAAAATGATTAGTTGATCTCAGAGGTCCCTTGTATCTTTAAGTTATCTTTGACTCCTTCATTCTATAAAAACAAAAGGCCAGTCAGGAGCCTCAGTGGAAGGAAAGTGGAACAGAGCGGTGACATTCATTTTTCAAGGAATAAAATGGTTGCTCTAAGGCAAGTGATTGGATTTATTTCATCCAAAATAAGCTGGCGCAGTTCTTTAAAAGTTTAGAGCTATGTGAGTTAGGCAGCAAATTATGGCTTTTCTTTGTCTGGATAAAGGTTACACCAAGTCTGGACTCAGTCAAGTTTAAAGGTTACAAAAGTAAACTTTTCTGACCCCCATTTTAATCAGCTGATGATATAATTATTAACTAAATTGATAACTCTGGAAAGTCACTGATTGGGATGAATCAGGAAATATTGCATCATAGTACACATTAGTAGATGTGGTGACCCTGGTGAACTGAATGTTGGCTTGGAGGGAAGTGTGTATGACTCCGGAGATGTGAGTTCAAGTCTCGGCTCTGCCACCTGCAGATGTCATGTCCTTTACCCAGGTACTGAACTTCCAAGGTCCAGTTTTCTTATCCCTAAAATGGAAATAATTCTACCTTAGGCAAAGGGCATTGAGAGAATCAAAAGAGATATGATGGGTGTGAAAATTCTCTGTTAACTGTCAGAATCCATATAAACATGTTGTAATTAGATCTTGGCAAAAACTTATTTTTTCCTTATCAAAAGAGCTTAGAAATAACTGCACTAAACAATTTAGAACAAATATAAAATCTTTAGGGAACATGCCTTTGTACAAGCATTGCCATTAGTTATCTACTAAGTATATCATTTTAGCGATATTTAGGTCCTCGCGGCCACTAAATCTGTTCCGGTCTGCGTGCTGTGGTGGTTCTGTACTGTGGGTCTGTTTAATGAAGTCCCTGCCTCCCATCCTCCGCTGAGTCCATGCCTGTTGTTCTGTCTAAAAATTCCCTTCCTTGCTGTGCATAGTTCATTCCTTGTTTTTTTTTTTTTTGACAAAGACGGACTCAAAAAGACAACAAAAGCAGTTGTGTCTGGAGGTGACTGGGAGTGGGAGAAGCCATAGTTTCTCAAGCCCTCTCCACTAAATTCTCGAGATTGGCTCTTTCCACAGTAATCTGAGCAAGTTCCGTCTCTGCAATGATGGAGCGGGGAGAATCTCTATCTTTTATTTCTCCTCTTGAGAATCTATGGCACTTTTATCCCTGGAGACAAGTAAGGGGCATCTATCTAATATGAACCCTGTTATTTTGTGAACAGAGTCAGTGGGATGTATATTCAGAGGGACGTGTTTTGGGGTTTGGTTTTTGTTTTGCTAAAATTGTTCTGGAGGCACCTGTGGTGTAAGCGAGTGCATCACAATGGGCATCAGAAAATCTCAGTTTAAATCCTAGTTTTATCAATTATGAGCTGTGTGACACTGGACAGGTTTCTTGTTCTCCCAGAATCTCCCTTTCCCCTATTTGAAAAATCCAAAATAATAATCTCTACTCTTTTTTTTTTTTGTGGGGAAGGGGAGGATTTCTTGATAAAAGGTATGTAAATCTACTTAGCTAATTACTTTATGAGTGTTTGGTCATTCACGATGTTTGACTTATGTTAGCTATTTTATGTATAGGGAGCTGTAATGTTAGTACGGTAGTTTAAAATATTGAAAAATCTCTCATTTTTGAGGACAAAGTATCCTAGTGTTAGATACAGCGTTACAGGATAAACACTTTTTACATACAAGGCATAGAATACATTGACTGTCCTCAGTATCAGACATTCCCAGATGGTCATTGATTTGAATCCAGAATTTTGAGCCATTTTTGGCACAAGATTACGTACTTGAGCCAGTGCAAGCAATCCTGGCTGCACATGGCAATCACTTTTTTTTTTTGTTTTAAATACATGAACTCCGACCCAGTATAATTAAATCAGAATCTCCAGAGTTGTCTCTGGACAGAAGGAAAACAAGACCAAAGAACACTTTATTTTTATTTTTACTAGTGGTCCAAAGTCCACTTGGAAGAGAGTATAAAGAGGATGTAACTGACTAGTCTCCTTATACCTCAGCGAGGCACGTGTTGTTTTAACAGGGAGTGTTATAAAAGCTTTGGATTTCAGGCTCACAGTTTTCTGAGTAAGAAGAGACAATGGATCTGGTTGTGGTCCTGGGGCTCTGTCTCTCCTGTTGGCTTCTCCTTTCACTCTGGAAACAGAGCTCCAGGAAAGGGAAGCTCCCACCTGGCCCCACTCCTCTCCCTATTATTGGAAATATCCTGCAGTTAGATGTTAAGAACATCAGCAAATCCTTAACCAATGTAAGTATGTTTTATGCTCTTCCTGTGGCTTGCAAAGGGTAAGTAAACTGAACCCAATTTTAAAAATAAAATATATTCCTGGGGGTAACTATTACAATAGGTCATTGTAAAGCAAATTACTCCCTGTAAATTTTAATATTTCTTTTGCCTTTTCTGGTCTGTCTTTGGCATAGATAGTGGAATGAATATTGTGTTTTGTGAGTAGAGAAACATTTAGGTTTTTCTATAGTAGAATCCAAATAATAAAGTGACAAAAGCTGGGAGTGTTGTTTCCCTTCTTTGTTTCACAGCCATTTGCTGTTTTTTCACTGAAGGTAAATTGTAAGAGAAGTGGTTGTGATTAGAGGTTTCATCCAGAAGTCATCTACTATATAAGCTGTGTGCTTTATTCAGATACCCATGAAAACTGAACTTCTCTGAAGAAGCAAATTGTGCCTGATCTCAACGAAATGGCTCTGGGTTCAGCACCAGGGTGAGGGAATAAAAGAAAGTAGTAATTAGTCAGGACCTAATTGGCCATAACAGCACTCATTTGGATTCTGCACAAAACTGCTGTCTGTACCCTATGAGCGCTTCAGGGTGGAAGAAACAGTTCTTCCATGAGATGCTCAATGGCCTGGCCCTGCCTCTGTGGTACTCGCTCTCTTTCTGTGGATCACAAACAGGCCTGCACATTAGAGTTGTTTGAATAATTTTTTTTTAAGGAAGATTAACCCTTAGCTAACATCTGCCGCCAATTGTCCTCCTTTTTGTTGAGGAAGACTGGCCCTGAGCTAACATCCGTGCCCATCTTCCCTTACTTCATTTGTGGGACGTCTGCCACAGCATGTCCTGACACGTGTGTGTAGGTCTACACCTGGGATCCTAACCGGTGAACTGGGGATGCTGAAGAGGAATATGTGAACTTAGCCGCTGCGCCTCCGCGTGGGCCCCTGAATAATTTTTTTAAAATATAGATTTCTAGTATTTGTCACAGGGCTACTGAATCAGAATTTGCATGGGAAGAGCTCCACATGTGATCCTGAAGCAGTCAGCTGGATATTGGTCCAAAGGTGGACATTTAGGATTGAAATATTGCTTGAGGATCAGAGGTTGAATAAGATGTTCAAATTTGAATCTTCTATATAGTAGCCATGGGACGCTGGAAATGAACTGGAATTCTCTGACCTCAGTTTCCTATTTGTAAGTGAGACAAATAAATGTGCTGAAGGTGCTGATATGAGGATTAATTGTAATCTGTGTACCAATTACTCAGGACATTACCTGGCACATCCCAGGCCATTCATAAGTGGAAGCTGTAATAATCACCCTCATATTTATATATTAAGATCAGAAATATTTTAAGCTGTATGTGGCAGAATAAAAATGTAAAAATAGGATGTTAATGTCATTCTGAATCAGGCACAATAAATTATCAAGTAGTGACTTCTTTTACTATTATTTGCATCTCCTTTCCCAGCTCTCAAAAGTCTATGGCCCTGTGTTTACTCTGTATATTGGCATGAAGCCCGCTGTGGTGTTGCATGGATATGAAGCAGTGAAGGAATCCCTGATTGATCTGGGGGAGGAGTTTTCTGGAAGAGGCAATTCCCCAGGGTCTGAAAGAGCTAATAAAGGACTTGGTAGGTGTGCATGTGTGCGTGTTCAGCATTGGTGATGGGGGTGGGGAGGATGGAAAACAGGAAATTGGAGCGCTCCTTAGCCGATCTTGGCCGGGACACAAGGCTGCCAAGTGTCAGCTTCCTCCTCCCTCCCTAGGACCTCCCTCTCAGTTTCTGTTTCCCCTCCTGGTAGGAATCGTTTTCAGCAATGGAAAGATATGGAGGGAGATGCGGCGTTTCTCCCTCATGACTCTGCGGAATTTTGGGATGGGGAAGAGGAGCATTGAGGACCGAGTTCAAGAGGAAGCCCGCTGCCTTGTGGAGGAGTTGAGAAAAACCAATGGTGGGTGATTCTATTCTCTGTAACTCTGACCTTAACAGGTTGTTCACCTTTCTGGTGATGTCCTTGGAAACAATTCAGGGGTGGCCACATCTTTCATTATGGGTAGTTGCTACCAGTCTTCAAGTGAAAGAGGGAGGATGTGAAGCAGAGAGTCAGGGGAACTTTTGTGCATGTCTGCTTGTTGTGTGTGTACACCCATGATTGTGCATACAGAGTAGGCATAATAGGTCATTTAATCCTAGTCTCTCCTGAGCTTTATTTGTTTTCAAATCAGAAGTCACGAAAAACAGTTTTGAGTCATTTTCTGAAAGAGTTAGAGAACAATGTTTTTCCTATAGCATGAAAGTAGTTTACCTATTCCAGAACATTTCACCAGAGAACATTTGTCAAGTAAACTTGGTGGGAATGACCTCATCACTCTTATGGAGCATGAAACAAGTCATGTGTACTTTCACTTAATTGCATTATATTTATATGGTCAGCCTCATAGACATGTCTGAGAGTTTCTTCCACAGTCCATGTTTACGGTTCTGGCCAAGAATAATGCCATCTATGGATTTAATCCCTTAGGCATATCTTAGTGCAATTCTTGTCAATTATGACCTCTCTAAAGATAAGCACTATTTAAAAATGCCAGCATTATTTCTTGTTACTCATACTACTCTATTGATTTATATATTTTGAATAAATATATGCTACACCATAACTCTTCAAAATATACAAGTAGCAAGTTAAAATATGTTTTATTTAATTAGATTTCAACCATTTCAATAACTGCTTACCGTGTCTTTTCTAAGTTAAATTTGGCTCTGTTTTCAGTTTGTTAAACTTTGCCTTATCTTTACTGGATTTTGGTAACAAATTCATGGTACAGTAATTATTTACCTACTACTGCCGGGAGTACCACTACACCTATAAAGTGTAAAGTCACAGTGACTCTGATTTTCAGCTTGGAGTACAAATTACTCTGTTTTTTTTTTTTTTTTTAACTCTTTCTTCCATATGAAGTGAAAGGAAAGACTGAACATCAGACTACTTGTGAATCACATACACGCAAAGAAATCCCCAAGGCTTACCAAATTACCCTCCACCAATATAGCAAAAACAAAAGTTGTTTTAAAGCTTAAAGCCTTGGAACATTTAAAGGAGCCTGGCAAGAAACCGCTAACTATGTTTCCTTTTATTCCATGTCTTACCATTCCTCCCTAACATTTTAAAGAAATGTAAAGTAAAAAACCACATTACATGAAATCCACTCTCTTAATGAATTATTAAGTGTTCATTATTGTGAACTATAATCACGCTGCGGACAGCAGATCTCTAGAACTTTTCGTCTTGAGTGACTGAATACTCTACACCCATTGAACTGTGACTCTCCATTCACTCCTCCCCCAGGCTCTGGCAATTAGCATTCTGCTTTCTGTTTCTATGAGCCCGTCTAGTTCATATGTTTCAAGTAAGTGGAATTATGCAATATTTGTCCTTCTGTGATTGACTTATTTTGCTTAGCACAATGTCCTCAAGGTTCATCCATATTATAGCATATGACAAGATTTCTTTCATTTTTATGCTGAATAATATTCCAGAGTGTGTATTTACCACATTTTCTTTATCCATTCATCGCTGATGAACATTTAGATTGTTTCTACTTCTTGGGTATTGTGAATAAAGCTACAATGAACGTGGGAGGGCAAATATCTTTTTGAGATCTTGATTTTAGTTCTTTTGGATAAATATCCAGAAGTGGGATTGCTGGGCCATATGGTAATTTGATTTTTAATTTTTTGAGGAACTTCTATACTGTTTTCCATACTAACTGCACCATTTTACGTTCTGCCAACCACATACAACAGTTCAATTTCCCCACACCCTTACCAACACTTAATTTCTTTTTCTTTTTTTTTGATAATGGCCATCCTAACAGATATGAGGTGATATCTCATTGCTTTTGATTGTGTTTCCTAATGATTAGTAATGCTGAGCATGTTTTCATATACCTCTCGACCATTCGTATGTCTTTTTTTTTTTTAAATAAACACAAGTTAAAGATATTATTTAACTCATTAATGAGGAAATTAGTCAGGTGTTACAACCAGTTCAAAGGACAAGGGTCAAAAAGTACAAGGTTGTTTAAAGTATAAGAATGTTGACATGAATGTGTGAATGAAGACAAAACTAGCCAGGGGAGTCAATTGAACCACTACTGAACAGAATAGAATTTGCATGTCTATAGACAGGAATTACTTTGCACTGCCGTCAGTTATTGATAGTTTAAAAAGTCCCAAAATAGCTCCTGTACAAGAATCACAGTCAGATAAAGCAGAAGGGTGAGCTATAGACAATGCACTTTTCCTCTGAAGCACATATTTTCCTTACACTGTAGCTGTGATTACACCTACATATCCAGGTTGAAAGAAACCCATCAACGTTCTTCAAAGGGTGTGGTCTACACTCAATATTTCTCCCTCACCCCCTGGCTTTATTGAGATATAATTGATTGTAATGTTGTGTAAGTTTAAGAAGTATATGCGTTGATTTGAAACATTCATATATTGCAATAGGATTACCACACGGCATTGGCTAACACCTCCATCAGGCCACATACTTACCATTTCTTTGGAGAACATTTAAGGCTGACTCTCTCAGCAACTTTCAAGTATGTAATACAGTAGCGTAACTACAATTATAATACTGTGCATTAAATCCCCAGAATTTATACATGTTCTAACTGGAAATTTGTACTCTTTGACCAACATCTCCCCATTTCCTCCACCCCCAAGGCCCTAGTAACCACCCTTCTAGTCTCTGTTTCTACGATTCAGCTTTTTAAGATTCCATCTATAAGTGATATTATACAGTATTTCTCTTTCTCTATATGACATTCCACTTAGCATAAAGCCCTCAAGGTCCATCCATGTTGTCACAAATGACAGAATTTCCTTCTTTTTCATGGTTGAATAGTATTCTACTGTATATAAATACTACATATTCTTCAAACATTATCTGCAGATGGACACTTAGGTTGTTTTCATATCTCAGATGTTGTGAATAACGCTGCAATAAACATGCGAGTGTAGAAATCTCTTCAATACTCTCTTTCATTGTCTTTGGAAAAATACCCAGAAGTAGGATTACTGGATCATATGGTAGTTTTATTTTTAATTTTTTGAGGAACCTCCATACTATTTTCTGTAGTGGCTGTACCAATTTACATTCCCAGCAACAGTGCACAAGCATTCCCTTTTCTCCACATGTTTGCCAACACTTGTCTTTCGACTTTTTGATGATAGCCATTCTAACAGGTGTGAGGTGATATCTCATTGTGGTTTTGATTTGGATTTCCCTGATAATTAGTGACGCTGAGCACCTTTTCATGTACCTGTTGGCCATTTGTATGTCATTTTTGGAACAATGTCTATTCAGTTCCTCTGCCCATTGTTAATAAGATTTTTTTTAATTGAGTTGTGTGAGTTCTTTATATATTTTAGATATTAACTGCTTATCAGATATAGGGTTTGCAAATATTTTCTCTCATTTCTTAGGTTGCCTTTTTATTTTCTTGATCATTTGTTTTGCTGTGCAGGAGCTTTTAAATTTTGATGCAGTCCCATGCGTTTCTTTTCACTTTTATTGTTTGTGCTTGGTCCAACTTGGTCATGGTGTATGATCCTTTAATATTCTGTTAAATTTGGTTTGCCTATATTTTGTTGAGAATTCTACATCTTTATTCGTCAACTATATTGGCCTGAAGTTTTGTGTTCTTGTAGTGTCTTTATTGCTTTGGTATCATGGAAATGCTGGCCTCATGAAATGAGTTTGGGAATGTTCCGTCCTCTTCAATACTTTTAAAGAGTTTGAGAAGGATTGACAATGTTTGCCAATCTTTAAATGTTTGGTAGAATTCACCAGTGAAATGAGGTGGTTCTGGGCTTTTCTTTGTTGGGAAGTTTTGAATATTGATTCAAGTACCTTACTCATTATTGGTCTGTTCAGGTTTTCTATTTCTTTATGATTCAATCCTGGTAGGTCATATGTTTCTAGGAATTTATCCATTTCTTCAAGGTTATCCAATTTGTTGGTGTATAATTGTTCATAGTAGTGTTTCCACTTTTTTTTGGTATTTTTGTGATGTCACTTGTAATGTATCCTCTTTCATTTCTGATTTTAACTATTTGAGTCTTCTCTCTTTTTACTTAGTTTAGCTAAAGGTTTGTCAATTTCTTTTATGGTTTCCAAAAACCAGCTCTAATTTCATTGACTTTTTTCCTATTGTTTTTCTGGTCTTTCTTTCATTATTTTCTGCTGTGATCTTTATTTCCTTCCTTCTTCTAAATTTGGGCTTGGTTTGTTCTTTTTTCAGTTCCTTGAGATGTGAAGTTGTATTTTTTTATTTGAAATTGCTTTATTCAGTTTTTCTGCAAATAAAGAATTTTTACTTTAAAATTACAAAAGAAATACAATACGTGTGTAAAGCGATAAATGAACATCTGCCTTCTTCCTCACCCCACACCTGATGCCTAAGCCGGGCAATTTCATTAGTCAGAGGACCACTGTTATCAATTTGGTGTATTATTCCAGGCTTTTCTCTATATTTTGGAGAAAATGAGATCATACATACTGTTCTGCATTTTGTGTTCTCTTATTACATCAAGGACACAATTCCATGCATACTTATTTTCTGTAGTTGTATGATTTGATTTCCTTTTGTTTATCTTTTGTGTATCTCCTGTAGGTTTTTGCTTTGTAGTTATCATGAGACTTACATAAAACATCTTATGTAATAGCCTATTTTAAGCTGATAACAATTTAACTTCAGTTGCATACAAAACTCTACCATGTAACCCCTCTTTTTTGTTTCTGATGTCACAATGTACATCTTTTTATATTGTGTATCCATCAAGAAATTATTGTACTTATTTCTATATTACACTGTTTTGAATTTGACTATATGTTCACCTTTACTAGTTTGTTTTATGTTTTCATATGTTTTCATGTTACTT